CCATTCATTGACGCGGATTATGAAAGTCTCATTGATGTTCAAGTTCCGTTCTCTGAGGATGTCCGGCATTATAGGTTTCCACCATTGGACAAGGTAAAGACTGTTTCTGGAAAGGTTTTGGAAAAGCATCGTTTTCTCCCAACGCCACACGTCGAGAAGTTGATGAGCGACTACGTTGACAAAATGGACCTGATGGTAGCAAATGAAGATGAAGGCGAGCCCGAATACGCCACAGTGGACGAAACGTTCTCGCCCATTCTCCATAGGATAAACCAGATCGTGAGGTGGAGAGCTGTCCACCCGGACGAGCCATTACCACTAGCACACGATATCCTAACTAAGTATAGTTACCCACCAAAAACCCTCCTCGGAGTCTCAACCAACGCCCTGCAAAAATTAATCGAAGCCAGCGATGTTAAAAGGGTAGACCCTAAACTCGCTGGCCGAAAGCGCGGCCGTGAGCAGCCTGCCCCCAAATCCGGACTAGACGTTGAAGCCCTCCTCACCTCTGCTGCTCCTTCAGTTCCCAAGAAGGCAAAGATATCATCAGCAAACCCGATCCCGGATTTTAAGAATAAGCTGCGGACGACGGAAGATCTGTCCGATCTCAAGGAGGCAGGGAAGGAGATGCTAGCTGTGCTGAAAGAACTCATCAAGTACTCCCTAGCTGACGCGAATTACGGCCGTGTATGTGAGATTTTAAAGGTTATGAGGGAGGAGTATATTGAGTATGATGAGCCTGGGATATATAATATAGTTTTGCAGCGTTTGAAGGAGGCCATAGTTTCCGAGGAATTGGATGGGGATAGGATGGAGTGTTGGGATGGGATCCGGTATAACAGGTTGGGGTTGATTACAAAAGGGGAAAGTGAGCGAGTGGAGGTTGATGATGCGGCGGCACGGAGGGTAAGATTTTTCCAGTCTCAATTGAATTTCGGGTTTCATAATGGGTCGGATTGCTAATTCCCGTGTGCCGCACCGTAGTTTCTTTGGGGTTGAAAAGCTGGCTTGGAGGAGTTTGTGTTGAAACATTTCCTATGATAACGTTAGGTAGTTGAGATACATAGCCCAAGATGCTTCAAATTTTTCCAGTCTATGCTCCTTCTTGTGGTCAATTGTGGCGACGAAATTGTACTCAAGCATGAGTTGGTACTTGTCCACTGGCTATACTAATATTAATGAATAGTGTGGGAGTGCTCGTTCACCTTCCCGTAGGTGGATGGTGTCTTGACCGGGCCAACGATGTGTGAAAGAGTGTGCTCTTGACTCACTTGCTATACTGGGCGATTGGGAGGATAAACTTAACTCTGGATACCTATGGTGTAATGATGCAAATAGGTAGATAGAGAAATGTGCAGAAAGTTTAGCCTTAAACAGAAGTGAAGTGGTGATTGAAATTGCCCTTTAGGAGAGGTTGTTGTCGTGCTGGTCTAACTAAGAAATCATGAATATGCTTGTAAAAGGGAAAACTCTGCACAGCAAGCTATCTACTAATGGGCTAGTCACAGTAGGAGAAAAATGTCCATGTGACTGCGAAACTAACCAATACTATTGCCCTAGCCCACAAGGGTCCTCCTCCTCTCCAGCCTTCGTCCATGAAGAGAAACAGGCAAACAACTGCCTTTATAATAACCATGTCACGTGTTCCCTACATGCTAATCACCCTTCAGAGTTGAGTACAATAGTTGACATGTGGCCAGCTCTTCCAAAGAGGAGGTGAGAGCTGTGAACTAATGAAGGCATCAAAGGTGTACAGGGAAAACCTAAGAAGTAATGGTTTAATCATGTATATTGAAATATTACCTATTAAAGTCTGCCCTTTCTATTGTGGAATCAGTGGGTCTTAAATACACAAATATAATCAAAGATATCAAATAATATTCTTCTGTAAAACAACTTAAGTATTAAAATAATACTTAAAACAAAAGATCAAACAAAATCCTGAACCGAGTACCTGTACTAGTTAAGGACCAAATAGGTTATTAAAAATACATGTTTTTAATTACAGTCACTCGGCAGAAGTGTTCATGATCTGAGACAATGTTTAATTACAGTTGCCCCAGATGGTGTGGTAGTACCTGTGGCATTGTCAACGAGCATGTGGGCACACGAGTTCAAGTTCACGATCAACAACTACTACTACCTCTCAACATTCAATGGTCAATTGACCTGCCATAAATTAAACTAGCTAATATTTTGTATAACCTCCCCTTGCTTCTAAAACTGTAGTCATCCTATCAGGTATTAATTTCCACAACTTCTCAATAAACTCCTTAGGAATTGTCTCCCAAACCAATACTAATATATGTGCAAGTCTTCTCCTAACAGCCTCTTTTCCTTCTGGAGTATCAGCAATCCTTGGATACTGCTGGTACAATCGCGTTTTAAGCTCAACCCATACAGGCTCAACAGGATTTAAATCAGGGGAATAAGGGGAGTGGTCCACAACCTCAATACTGTTTCTCTCCAACCAATCCATAACACTATATGCCTTGTGAACGGGAGCATTATCTTGCTGAAAAAGAACATCTTCAAGTTGTATACCAAAGGAAATCATTTGATGAATAACAGGAAAAAGATAGCTTCTCAAAAGTCAAACATACATGGTCTGATTGATAGTTTGAGTAATAGGAACTAATTGTAACGATCCCTCCTCGGATGGTTAGTTCTTGGTGACGGGGAACAATACTTCTCTTCTTCTTAGTCTTTCTTTGTCTTACCATAGTACTACGCCTCTGCCTACGTTACAGATAGTACAAGACCTCTGTCTTCTATCAGAAATGCCTATCGTAAGCTTTCTCTAACTCTTCTCCGTGAAGAGCTTTCCTCTGTGTAATGATAAATATTGCAATAAAGATTAAGATTGTAATGGTGTTTTATATCCATTAAAGTAATAAGTAGGGAAAGTACTTAGAATTCAATATAATTTTATTTAAACTCATACCACCAACACTGGCATATGATGAGCCCCTGCCGGCACATGGATACCGCTAACTAGAATACCACTAAACTTAAGCTAACTAAGTCTACAGCCCCACACCTGCTATCCCTGAGTCATGCCTGCACGAGAACTAATTACAAGACCACCAAACAACCCAGCTCTCTCCCCGGTCCAAGTCCGTAGCTCCTCTGGCAAGAAGCCAACCAGCACTAAGCATAGCTGCAGCCAAACAAAAGACCAACCCGACCAGGTTGCTTATCCAACAAACATAAAATCACTACCACTGTCACAAATGTGGCTTGGCGAGGAAAGGGTTTTCACATAACACATGGTTATGAGTCACAGGTATGTTATTGTTTCACACATATGATTTATGTTTCGCACATGACCTAATGATGAGGTCATGAGTTTCACACATATGACTCAGTCAAGTCATATGACTTGTTTATTGTGTTATGATTCGTTTATGAGTTTTTGCACATGACCTCGCTATGAGGTCATGGGTTTTGAGCATGTGACCCGTTTGGTCACATGACTAGTTTGTTATGATTTGGTTTCGCACATGTGATGACTTTGTGTGACATGACTATGGGCAGGAAGAACACTATATAAGGAGGCTAATACACCCGAGGAGGATAGGTTCTTCACGCTTTGTTCTAAGTACTTTTCCTACTTCTTACACTCCGTATGGGAAGTGAGCATAACCAATACTTTACCTTATTTCGCTCGCAATAAATACTTCATCACTGTTATTTGTTTGTGCTTTTTTCGTTTTAGGCGGTCGGTTAGAAGTAGTTGTTCTCGCTTAGAAGATACTTCAGTGTGAGATATCTATGGCCTCGTCCCATTAATCACTGAGTATACTTTGGGCGAGGATGGCATCTTCGACAGCCTCTTCATCCATGGATTCTCCCCCTCCTTCGAGGATGTCGTCCCCAGTTCGGTTCAGCTCTAATACTTCCTCCTCGCTTGAGACAGCCCCTGCAGCCTTGTCTCTTGGGCCTGCTGCTGAGGCTGACTGTGGCCTCATCCCTACAGCTACAAGGTCATATGTTGCACCTAAAGGAAACTTTGGTTTCCTACAGTTGCACCACTGCTATGGGTGTCAGAACGCGGTTAGCCCGCAATTTGATGATTTGGTTCGGCAAACGGTCGCTGACGTGACCGTTGCCACGATGAAAGAAGTAGAGGTTTTGGTGAGAGGTTTCCTGGTCGGGAGAGGCTGTTCAGCCACATATGGCTTGAACAAAGACACTACCACAGAGCTCTTCGTTCGGTTCAACTCAGACCATGGCTCGGAATATTCTCCAGCTCCCGTACCTTCTCCTCCCAAAGATTCTCAGACTGTGGTCCCTGAATCCTCCATCCCTTCCACCAAGGACAACTCGACTGCCACCACAGTTGAGGCCCACTCTTGGTCCACTACTCCTCCCCTCGCTAGGGCTGTCCAAAGCAAGATGGCCAGCTTCTTCCACCAGGCCCACAATATCGGGACCGGCTCCTTGACTCCCTGCTTCTTGGCAGAAATGTCTTCAGGCGAAAAGGCTCTTTATGAAACACCGAAGTTCAAGCTGGACGGCCCTGATGACGAGGATTATAACCCTCCTGCCTCTGGAACACGCTGTTGGACACGGTTTTAGCATCTCCTGCTAAGGGATCTGCTGCTCCTCTCCTTGGTCCCCAATTTTTGAGGGCTATCAATGTCGATGAGGGATGGAAGAAACAGATTGTTCCCGCTCTTCCTGGCCTACCCCTAGGCGTTCACCAGGGGCGCCTGGCCATCCCTCTGCCTGTGGTACTCCCATCAACAATCGACGCCATACCTCCTTCTCCATCCCCACTAATGACTGAGGATGTCCTACCCACCTCTGGGGTGATGGCTAGAGACACCCCTATGGGCCTGGGTGAGGGGCGCAACTCGGAAGTGACTGGTTTGGGTGACAGCTTACATGCCCCTTCACCAGCTATGTGCTCATCACCTCCACCTATTATTGAACGATGGGTGTCACCTCCCAGAGGCCAACTGGAGGGTCCCTTAGAAACCCCCAATGGCGATTCAACCCTATTGAAAGTTCAGCTCCCAGAAATCCAACCAGAGGACCCTGATGCTGTGGTAGCCCAGGTGGACTCAATCATGGCAGGTGTTTGTGAAATGCTAGATGCTGGTAGGACTCCCTCTCCTGGACCCCACTCAGGTAGTGTAATTGGATCCATGTTGGAGGGCCTGGAGGACATCCAGTCTGGCAATACTCAGCCTCTCCTCTCTTGAGAGTCCGGGTCAATTGATGATGACAAGGTACAGCACGTACGAACTTGGATGAACACTGGGCCCACCTTTGATGTTGAAGGTCCGAGGAACAGGATAAACTACTGGCGTCGAGTTCATGTCTTAGAACGGGCAGTAAAGGTACTGACCGACATTATTGGCAGACAAGGGGAGGAAATTAAAGCCCTTCAGGTAAAGTTGTCCCCCCGCCACCACCTCCCACCTACTGTACCTCACAGTACCTCTGCTGTCCCTGCAGAGCCAACCCTACCATCCCCTACCCCTGAGAGAAAGGAGGCCTCTACGGGGGCTCCTACTGCTAAAGCCTCTTATACTGAGGTAGTAAAACGAATGGCATATGTGTTCAAGCCCCCCACTGGCCCACTGGAACAGGTACGTCCTGCCCAGCCTCCATCAGGAGCCTCATACCACCAGTCCAGCAGCAGTGGCAGTTCCTCCAGCGAAGGGGGGGTAGTCTTGCGAGTAGTCTGCAGAGGTGAAGGCAAGTCTGTTCACTGGGAAGAGGAGGAGGGGGAGGAAGAAGATAGAAAGAAAGAACAAAGGAAATGTGGCAAATGCCTGAGTAGTGCTGCTAGAAGGAGAAGAAAGGCTGCCAGAGGATCTGGTGAAGAAAGGGAGGCGGTGACCCTGGCCAAGACTCAGGGGAAGGCTGATAAACAGGAATTGGCTTCAAAGGATGCGATACCTGTTACTACGGTGGCTCAATCTGGGCCAGCAGCCCTGGCCAGTGTCAAAGTAGCCACGGCTCAGACACGACAGGAATACCATCGAGTACCAATGGGACCCCCAGACCCACTAAACTCGGTACCACCACTACCGCACTCATTGCCAATCCCGAATGCTGGAGGGAGGCACATCACCATGCGCTTC